CGCCAGAGGTTCGGCCATTTTTAAAACGTGAATGCCACACAAAAGTTTGCGGACTCCCCAAATGTTTGCTTTAGCATTTCATAGGTTTCCTTAGCCGTTTTGGCGAGTCTTTGGCAAAATTTGATTTGTTCATGAAAATCCGCCATTCCGAAATCGCAGGAGGGTCGGTGTAATGCACTACCAAAACGCCCGTAACTAAGAAACAAATGCTAATTCGATGATGCCGGCTGGCACACTGATTCACTATGAATGTAGGCCGCACCCCCTAGCAGCAGAAGCTCGTACTACATCCTGTTCTCCCTCTATTGACACAGTATGGAAACTTTCCGATCGCACCTCGTATATCAGCTGGAGCTTAACGTTGTGTTCCATTCCATGCTGGATCTTACTTAGCGAGAATGCTCTCTCCCGTGTGTGTATGTTCTAGGCCTACTCGTCAGGGGCAACTTGAACGTAATAGATTAAACACAACGAAGAATTTTAATGTAGAGTGTAAGGTAAAGAGTGTCCTTGTTTCTTGGAGTACAAATAGCTGAAGTTCCTGTGTCTAAAATGTTCGTAATTTCAATAGACATAATTACGTATCCCGTTCGACTCTCGGTCGGGCACCGGATGTTTAAGCTGAGGTCTTGTGCTGTTTCCTAATAGCAACATGCAAAAGTTCACGGCCGCTGTGTGTGCTGCATAATGACATTCTGCAGTAGACCGACGTCGTTAAACACCTACATGCCGGGAACACCCGTATAAATGTATCGTTGGTTATCTAAAATCGTTTTGTCGAAAGCTATGATGGGAAGATTTTAATAATTAGTGGTTAAGGAGTGCCGTAGTAAACCCTAGAAGAGGTCTTGCCACTCGATTCGCCTGGATCAACACCACAAAAAGTCACCGTTCGCAGGTTTTATGTTTCTAAACATAAGATGACTTGCTCGGATATTGACGTAGATCCGGGGTAACCCGCAGGATTTGATTTCGAAGTTTATGTGCCGACGTTACATCAGCTGAAAGCGTCTTGTGGCGTTACAAGGGCCGACGAACGCGACAGCTGACTGAGTCCCTGTAGTGACCTTGAAACTCAGTTCCCTCGCTGGAATGCGGAGTTTATCGCAGCTCTACGCTTATGAGAGGATTTACATTTCTCACTGAACGGTAACGCTCCGATCCAACTGTCGGGTCTGAGGTCTGTCGCATTCTTCCGTGGCTGCCTCCTTCCGAAATCTAACAAACGTTTGTTCTCACCACGCTCGAAACCAAGTTCTGCACTGGGAAAACTGACATTAAATAAGGCTTCTACTCGTGGGGTGGAGGGTTTGAATCCCGCCCAGGTAATTTCGCGGATATCTGCGTTCTGTTCATCGCCGAGATTCGGAGACGGGTCTATTGATTGCACCCCCCTCCCCCAGTATATCTGTGATTTTGTGTGGTTAGAGCAGAGGGCGAGAGCCTACAGTTCATTTACCGATGAAATTGATGCAGTTTACAGATCGCAGTGGAAGAGATTAAAAAACAACAGACAGTTTTCCGACGTTCTTGAAATAATGCTTGCCACGTCGCTTAGGAACATCATTTGGCTACGTTCATTGCAGATTCGGGGGGGGGGGGGGATACGATGTTCGTACGAATCTGAGAAGTTGAACTGAACGGGACAGTCACTCAACCGTTTTCCCACAAAGCTTCAAATGAAAATTGTTTAGGCAACCCTCCCCCCCCCCACACACACACGGTGTACCCAAATTAACAGTCACGTATCAGTTCGGTCTCCTCAAGGGGGTGGGGTTGGGGGGCGTAGCCCTAGTAACCCACGCTGCGGCGTCGGAGTCGGGAATCGAACACCGCACGAAGACCCAGACCGTGTTAATCAATGGCTCGGCGCGTGGTTCTCCTCAACAACTCCAGCGCTAGGAGCGCGCGCGCGCGCGTGTGTGTGTGTGTGTGTGTGTGTGCGTGTGTCGTCATGTGACTGACTTGTGCGCACATGTTCTGCCGCCAGCCACGTGGTCGCCATTCACTCCCCGACACACGCCGGGATCAGACCGTCAGCGCGATGAATGCAGCGACATCCTCCATCCTGGTGCTGATTCTTCTCCTGCAGCCGACTCAAGGTAAGACATCCTGAAGATACGAACAGCGGCGCCGCGACTGGCTACAACAGGTTTGCTGCTAGCTGATGGGTTCAGTGGACGGACGCAGCAACTTGATTGCCGGCCGGCCGGACCGTGCCGAGCCGAGCCGAGTCGAGCGGCCGTGCTTACTCCAAACGCGCAAAAAAGATGCAAATTTTACAGCTGTTGCTTGTTGTTGTAAACAACGGTTTTGGTTAATTTAGAACGAGCGTTCTGCCAAATTCCACCTGCGGTCACGGACCAACGTTCGCACAGAACATCGAAATTGTTTTCCCGTGCGCAAATAATCGAACTGCCACGCGGACACGAAGTTCATTGGCCCTAGAAACAATAACAAGTTTGAAAAATGTGCCAGTTGCAAGCAGTAAAGTACTCCGGGGCGTGCTAATGTCACGAGGGAGATTGTTGCGTGGGCTCCATTGTTTAATCGCCGTCAGAGTGAGTTTCGTCGGCGCAAATAACAGTAATAACAAATGAAAGGTAAGTTGCGTGCGTTTCAGTCACTGTAACTCTGCGGCGTTCTTGCATATCAAGCGTTGAGCGTTTAAGCAGTTGCAACAACTGAAATTCCGGTGTAAACGAACATTTAGATTCCGTTAATTGTCGTAGTCGGAGGCAAGTGCACGTGAGAGCATTTCAGGAAGAGAAACCTTCATTAACTTTGAGCCAGCGCGTGTTTTATGAAGTGCGTTCCAGTGTCTAAGAATTATGTTTGTTCGCCTCTTCGAAATAATTCGTTTTAAGCGGAGTTCTTGAATTTCGACAGTGCAGTTTTGGTGGAGCGGAGGCGAATTTTGTCGGCCTGAGTCACGTTGCCGTGCAAAACAAATTATGCCCGCTATCCTCTAGTCGCGTTATATTTCAAGGAGGAGTTTGTTTTGTGTAGGTATTAATATGTCCGCAGTGGCCACTTGGTCGCTGGGACCGTGGGTTCGAATCCCACTCAAGCCATGGATGTTCGTTGTGTTGTCCTGTGTACAGGTCGAGGCCTTGCGACGGGCCGATCTCTCGTCCAAGGAGTCCTACCAAAATGTCAATAGATCGAGCCAACGAAAAGTTGGGACTCGCAGTGCTCAGGAACTTGAAGAACGGGTCTTTCCCAGTATCCCAGTATTAATATGTACGTAAGTACAGACGTGCAGTGTCTACATGTGATCTATAAAGCCGATAGGCCCTGGGATTGAATCAGATGTGCGATTTTTTAAAGTAGAAGGGAAAATGTTTTTCGTAATCTGGGGTCGTGTTGTATATGAGGATGTAAGTATGCAGTCCCTGCGTCCCAGAAATGCTGGAGTCGATAATTAATAATTTCGTAATCTTTCTACACAGTGAATTCCGTTTATCTTAAATGAGTTTAAATGTAAGTTACGCTGTTGTTTACATCTACAAAGAAGACACGATGATGCAGAATTTTAGTAACAACTGAATGTTTATATTACGCCAATTATCAACAGACTGTGCCGTGATATTTGTTAGAAATCCTCTGCGGTTGCTGGAAGTTGAGCGGCTAACCATTCTTCGTGCACTCGTGGCCAGAAATGTTGGAGTAGAAAAATGCAGTCCGACAGAACCGAAATCGGGGCGCATTAAGAAAAATTTGGTTTTCGTCTTGTTTGACAGTAACGTATTTTGGATGAGATAAGCAACACGCCATGTAGGCGCTCGCGTAGCCTCTGCGAGAATTTTTCTAATGGAAAGAGATTCGCAAGTGATGCTGACCTACTTTGATTGTTTCGCAACTAATTTGGACCACATTATATGGGGGCAGTTTTTAATTAGTATTTTCTGCAGTTGGTCATGATTACGCAATTAAAAAATCAATCGCGTATCTTCCACGAGCTAACGCACATTTCCTTCTGAAGATAGCGTCTCTCATATTTAAAGAAAGATAAGATCATCTGTCAAGTCTTTACGTTGTTTTCCTCAGTTGTTCTGTCGGGATACGGCCTTGAAACAGGCACCTCCTTCATATGACGTCTGATGCTGTGACAATCTGCAATCCGCTGCACACACTCCCACGTTACTTACACACGATTCACTTTAATATTATCCTGGCACTTCCGCGTAGCTCCTCCGAGCGATCTCTTCGTTTCGCTGTTTCCAACTGAGGTTTTATAATAATCTTCAATCTCCCCATGCATGCTACATTCCCTACTCATCTCTTAGACTTGATCATCGTGATAAATTGTAACTTGAACCCTCTCAGGTCGAAACGCTCACCTGAACATCCTCGATCTGTGTGTCAGTATTCCCGCAAGAGACCACTTCTGCACGGCATATTCAGAAATGTAGTTTAAAATCAACGGAGATTAAGCATATTTTTGAATAACAATTTTAAGTGGCTTTACTGCAGTTGGTCGCTGCGAAAGCCTCAAGTCACACCAGTAATTTCCTTACCCAGCATATGTTGGATCTCTGCCACAGAAGGGCGAGCGTCTTGGGATCTGCGAGGCACACTGGGGCTGTGGCAACGAGGTGGGGGCGTGCGACACGTCTCCACGAGCTCCTCACTGTCAACACTGCAAGGCACCAGCTCACCAACTAGCAGGCGCTCTGTTGAGTCATCATCAATGCCCCGCCCCAGCCATCGCCCACAAGGGAACCTGCCAGCATACTCAGCTGTTACACTTTAGGACCGCATTCTCGCATGTGGCCTGACCAGACAAGACCTCTTGGTGTATGGACAAGCTTCAAGCCTCAGAACAGTCAGATCAAATGAATTTTTTAAATTTGGGCTCTCCAAAAATATGTAGTATATATTAAGAGATCTTAACGACATCAGTGACATGACAAAATGACACGTGTGTACACTAGAGTTCATAAACTGGGCAACTTTGCAAGAAATGCCAAAATTTGAATTTGAAAAACTATCATGTTACATTTGTAGAAATCAATTAAATGTGCAGCTTAAAATTACATTCTCAAGCTGTACCAGCCACACGGTGTTTCAGCGTATTCAAAATCATATTTTTTACAATCCGAAGCTGAAAAATGTATGGCATATGATAAACATAAAATGCCATATCAAATCTAAAACTTCTTGACGATGGTGAAGAGTCAATTGAATAAAAATTTACTTGGATATTATCCATCGTCTAGTAAATATAAAACGTAAAACGACGTTTCGGAGATGGGACTCTATCTCCGTCTTCAGGTTCCTACACAGTTGGGCCCACTAGATAGAGCTAATCCCTATCTCCGGACAAAGTAGATAGAGTCCCATCTCCGAAACGTCGTTTTACGTTTTATATTTACTAGACGATGGATAATATCCAAGGAAATTTTTATTCAATTGACTCTTCACCATCGTCAAGAAGTTTTAGATTCGATAAGCATATTTTTGTTTAAGACATTTTTAAATGTTTCCCTATGCGAAGTTTAATATGGGCTTCGTTCAAAGAACACTAATTAGCCGATCATCTTCGTTTGTATGCCGACTTAACTGAGATTATTATTTAAAGATCTGAGTGTAGTTGGCGACACATTTCTTCGATAATTACTGCTTTTATAGAACTGAACCAAGACATTCGTTCCATTCTTGTGGCACGTCGTTCTCATTTTGCATCGTTGTTTCAGAACTACCTCCTACTTAGACCGGTTCCGCGCGGAAATTTTGATGACAATTTGGACGATGTAAGATGTGAAGCTGGTTGCATTCTCAGGGTAAAATAAAAGTTAGCATCTGAGAGACAAATGCCGTGATAATGAATCAGCTAATACCAGCATATTTAAAATATATTAAAATGATTTTCTCTATCGAAATGTTCGATTTACATTAGATCATCATCGAACATTTCGATAGAGAACATCATTTTAATATGTTTTAAATATTAAATGTTAATTATAGTAATATTTTGATATTTTAATATTTAATAGGAATTTTGTTGTGATTAGACCGACAAGATTTAAAGAAACCAGCAACAGTGTTTGTGATGTGCGCAGATGTGGAAATCGTGTGAACAAGGGCTACAACCGCTTAACTAACTTGGAAAAAGATGAGAATGTTCATCCGCTTGCACAATTCCGTGGTCTTTTAAACAGACCGAAGAACTGGTTAGGTTGGCTATTGGATGCACGTGGCATTAATGATGTTAGGGAGACCGAGATACAAGGAAGAGCCTATGAATCAGTTAGGAAGGAAGTGTTATACTTTGTTTAAAAAAAAATTTAGGATAAATAAATTAAATCAATTATAAAGCCAGTGTACCGCCACGGTGGTCTAGCGGTTAGAACGCTGGCCTTGTAAACCTGGGGTCTCGGGTTCGAATTTATAACTTGTGTTGGGCAAGGCCGTGGTCTAGGCAACACGGAGTATTCCTCCGTGGCATCCCAACAATTACTCCATTCACACACAGAAGAAGGCAATGGCAAACCACTTCTGGATCATCTGCCAAGAACGTATATGAACAGGTCCCAGTCCGAGAAAAGGAAGGAAGGATCCTGTTCATATG